ACCCGGTGCCCCCTCCCGCTCCGGCTCTTACTTCTGCCTACCCTCGGCCATGTGGTGGGTCGTCCTGGTGCTTCTGTCTTGCCAGGACAGGGAGCTGGCGGTCGGCGCCGGGGTGGGCCCCTCTCGAGGGCGGCGGTCGGAGGACAGCGGCGGGCCGCGGGGCGCCGAGCCTTTGACGCGCGCGGACGAGGCCGAGAGGAGGGGCCGCTTCGGGGATCCTCCGGAGGCGACCAGGAGAGCCAAAAGAGGCTTCACGTATCCCGGGACCCTGTGGTGCGGTGCCGGAAACATGGCGGATCATTATGACCAACTGGGTAGGACCCTTCCCGTATATAAGCCGCCTTCCGGGATCTTTTGGGGGGAGTCTCGCCCTCGGGATTTATTTATCTCTCGATTTGCCAATGCGGATGGATTTGTCACTGTTGTTTTTAGGGGAGTATGAGGAGACGGACCGCTGCTGCCGCACGCACGACCACTGCCCCCACGTCATCCACGCCTTCTCCTCCAAATACGGGCACACGAATTTCAAGTGGCACTCCATCTCTCACTGTGACTGCGACGAGGCGTAAGTAGAAAAAGAAGGCGAGCGTGAAAAACGCGAGGCACGAGTCGCACTTCACTAACTTAAACGCCACCTCTTTTGTTTTCTTTTTCGTTTGTGTGCACGGAGCACAAAAAAATGGCTCGCAACGATGGTAAGATTTGGGAGTTTTTGGTTTTTGAACTTGGAAACACGTCTGACTATTCTCATACGATGAACACACTTCCGAAAATACAACTTCCTACTCGCACGATTGAGACTTTTTCCCGGATGGGCTGACCGCGTGGTGAGCAAATCCGCCGCGTCGTCCGCCTTTCACCCCGAGTCCTTTGGGATGGGCTCCAGCTCCTCGCGAGACCGAACAGAACGAGCGTGGCTCAATGGCTTGCGAGTGGTTTCCGTGTCCCCGCGCGCAGGTTGAAAGGTTGCCTGCGCCGAGCGAATGACACGTCCTCCCGCGTGGTGGGGCAGGCCTTCTTCAACGTGATCGGCGCCCCTTGCTTTCAGCTCGTCTACGAGGAGCGCTGCGCCGAGCGCCGCTGGTATGGACCGTAAGTATCCGCTCCTCTTATGACGTGTCCGCCGCATGCCGCCCTGACATGGCCGGCCCTTTTTTTTTTTTTTTTTTGCTCCCGGCGACCCCAGGTGCAAACGATACGAGAAGCGGCCCATCGCGGTGGTGAAGGAGGCGGTCCCGTACGACTACGGCGGCATTGCCGTCATTGACGTACTGACCAGGGCGCCCCCCGAAAGGAAGCGGGAGACCCCAACGCAAGCCACCCTGTCCGGCCCCGAGGAACCGTCCCTCGGAAACACGGGCGCCGCCCCCGCCGCCGCCGAGGACTTTGTGAAGGTGCTCGCCACCGTCTCCACCGCATCCGCCGCCGACTCCGACAAAGAGTCGCCAAGCTCGGACGGTAAAAGGGCGAAAAAGAAAGACAGAGCCGAGAAGAAGACAAAAAAGAGAAATGGGCAGAAAAGGCGGCAGAAAGTTGTTCGCGTTGAAGGAGTGGCGACGGTTTTAGCTTCAGGTGGCAAAAAAGCAGTCGAAAAGGTTCCCTCGAGGAACTCCGTCGCCGACCAGACGGCCACCCGAAGACGGAGTGACGGTCAGTCCGCTCGGAGTTCCGATGACGTCCTGAAGGATGAAGCGCCGATGGGGACTGGCGAGTTGCGCGGGACGGCAGGACCGACCGGCGCTCCTCCGGGTTCCCCACCCAAAACCGTCCGGGGAGAGGAGAAAGCGCCTCTGGCCGCCCCGAAGGAGATTCCCCGACTCACGAACAACCTCACCGCTCCCCTCGCGTCACATGACGAACAACGCCCCGGTGAGGAGATCCCGCCACCCGGAGTCGAGTCCGCCGACGTCTCCGGTGTCAAGTTTCCATGGACGGCAGGAGAGGCCGGACCCCCTGCTGGGTCTCGGCCAAAAACGGGGCTGCCCAGGAAGGGCCGCCGAAAAGAGAACGCACGTGGGATTCGTCCACCTGCGGTCGACTCCACCAAAAGCCTCCCCGTCATCCCAACGTTCCGACAACGGCGCCCCGGTGAGGAGATCTCGCAAGCCGCCATCCGATCCACCGGGAACCTTGTGATGGCGGAAAAATCCCGTCCTCCTGCCGGCTCGCTGTCAAAAACCAAGCGACCGAGGAAGGGCGGCAGAAAGGACAAGTTCCCTGCGACTTCGCCTGAGGAGGCCCCTCAACTTGCGCTCGACTTCACCGAGAACCGAAGCGCCACGCCCCTCCCCGCGAACCTGACATCGCAGCGGCGCCCGAGCAAACAGATCCCTCAGCCCGCAGGAGATTTCACCGACAACTTCCGCGTCAGCTCGCCGACAACGGACGAAAGCGCTCCTCCGCTTTGGTCGCTGTCAAGAAACAGGCGACCGAGGAAAAGCAGGAGGAAGGAGAAAGCGTTCCCAACTTCCGCCCAGGAGGTCGCTCAACCTGCCGTCGACGAGGCGGACGATCTCCGCGCCGTTCCGACGTCTCGAGCGCAACGTCGAGACCCCGGTGAGAAGAGGCCCCGGACGCACTCCGCCGGCGCCCCGGGTGTCTCCTCCGCTCTCACCGTCCAGATCCCGAAATCCGCCGTCCGCCCCACTGACCTCCAAAGTGTCCTTTCAATCCAAGTCGTGCCGACGTCGCAGCAAGTCCCCCGCGAAGAGATCTCTCAATCTGCGATCGATTCCAAGTCCAGCCCGAGTGCCACATCCACCCCAGCGTCACAAGCGCAACGCGGCCCCGCGTCTTCAGGTAGCACCGTCCAACCTGTACGGCAAAAGCCCACTGTCCCAGGCCCTCCGGGCACCCCCGAGGTCAAAAGAAACCGATCGGGCGAGAGAGGGGACAGCGAGGGCCGGAAGAAAGAGCGGAAAGCGCGGCCGCATCCCGGGGCTCCGAGCGTAACGCCTGCGGGGCCCACCCAAAGTCGGGACATTGTTCCAGCAGTGGGAATCCGAAAGAGACAAATGTCCGGGCGCAGCGCTCAAAGGATGAAAGCGGCTTCTGAAAGTGTGCCCTTGGCGAGTCTCGCCTCGAGCGCCGCCGCCGCCGACCCTTTCGGGAGCCTCGCTCGGAGAACCGGGCCCCGGAAGCTTGGGAGGAACGCGGCGCTCGTTAACGCCCACCGTGGATTTGCCACCTCGGAATTTCCCAATTTGACATCCGCACCCGAGGAGGGAGCGGAAAAGCGGAGAGCCGGGGTGTCCGCCGCCCGTCTCGCGAGCGCCGTGCGGCGGTCGATGGAGAGAGCCGAAGAGCGGTTTGCCTGGAAGAAGAGACGAAAAGCAACCGGGAGCATCAGACCGCATTGAGCCGTGCGCTCTCGTCGACTCGGCTTGAGGAAGGACATTCAAGCTTCGTTCGGCGTCGCGCATCCCGCAAATGGTCGACAACTCATCTGATTTGCCTGTCGTGTGACGATCGCGTGGGTTGAGCCGGCCGGGAGGAAAACTAACCAATAAGTAGCCTCCGTCTGGGGGGGTTTCTTTCATTTGGGTGCTAACGCTAATCAATCAATAAAAGAAGATCCAAACCCTCCCGTTTACAAATGAAAAACTCTTTTCTCTGCTTTTGTGAGGAATTCAAGGTGACCGCAGCCCGGGAAACTGGGGCAACCCTGGCCTCAGTAAGGCGCCTTGCCATATTACTCTTTGCCCTCGCCGCATTTTGAGCTTTTATTTTTTGCAAGTAAATGCAAGCCCAGTTGAATGAACTGGGCTCTTTTGTTCCAGCCGGACTCTGACCTCGCGCCCGCAAACCTCAGTGCGATTTGGACGCCAGGTCACATTCTCCAGGAGAGATTTAGCGTATTACTTTCTCCTGCCAAATGCCGCCAATCAGCTGACTCTCACATGCTTGCCTCAGACTGAAAGCGCGTGACGCGTTTGTCGATCTGTCTCGTCACCCGCGCAATAAGCGAGGAAGAGGAAGACCGGAGCTGATGCGGCACGCGATGATTGCCTATGCAAGTATTTCATCATTTTTTTTTGGGG